TACAAAAAAAATCAATAATTTATATACATGTACCTATCAAACATATGAGACCAAGCACCATATTATTTTATTACGTTTGTCATTGCACAGATAACACTTATTAGAAACTCACTTGAATATGTTCATTTTCTCCTTTCACCTTGTTCTTGGCATACAGGTAGCTATCTTGAAGGGTGATCGAGAAAAATCATGGGAAAATAATTCATAACAAACAAAAAATATATTATAAAACATCCTGTTCTCCAGCTACATACTTTGTTTATATTGAATTTTGTAGATACTATTTCACTTTCATCTTCAAATCATCCTGTTCTCCAGTTATTTGCAAAAACTAATTCAACAACTGTTATAAAAACGTCATATTCTCCAGTTATTTATACTTGTATGATCTTGAGTGTTTTCTTTATGAACATGGCGTAACTGGCCTTGAACATATAAATAAGCTGGTTAAACCAGCTTGGTATCTTTATGAAATTGTTGATATTACTTTACGCTGACGATACTGTCATATTAGCTGAAACAAGTGATGGATTGCAAAATTCTTTGAATGTGTTTGACCAGTATTGTAAGGAATGGAAACAAAATGTGAAATTAGATGTCAGTGATGAACTTCACTTTTATTATACTGTCCAGGACTAAATGCCCTCAGAAATCAATTTCTTCCCCAATATTTCTGTAAACATCCTACTATTGAAAAAATTGTTTATCTAATGAAATGTGATTATTCACCGCTTAACTCTAGAGTTGCCAAATTTATCAAAACTGGACTTTGTTCAATGTTTTAATATGTATCAATATGCTGCATGTTCTCTGTGTCACTATATATGATTTTGTAGAATAAAATTTCGGCTCTATTCTGTTCTGTTCAGTAAAAGGATAAGTGATATGCTACTATACTCTGTATTGACTCTGAGTCAGCTCATGAACTAAATAGGGGTGGACAGAATGGCTCAGCTAATTAGTGTACTCACTGAGTCTGTCTTATGGGAAGTCTGTCTTTTGGGAGGTCTGTCTTTTGGGAGTAAACCCATCTAATTAGATCATATTCTCATCAAATTAGATAATACCTTCATCTAATTAGATGGTGGTTATATCTAATTAGATGATAGTTTTGTCTAATTAGAGAATGTTATGTGTATAAGACTCGACTGACTGAAGTCAGGATCATCTTGTCAAGTTTTACTTTGGTCTTGTAACTTTCTAATTCTGATATACTGGACAGTCTTTTTATGTATCATGGCATTTTCATAAGCAGACCTGCACTGTACAGAGTTGAGAGGATGTGTAATATATACAGATGAAAGCATCAATTCGATTTGCTTGATGTTGCATTATACATTGTGAAGCAAATGGATTCATCGAGCCAACTTTTAGGATACAAGATGATGCATTTAAAATGTGTACACCAGGGACCTGTGATCAGTCAGAATAGTGTCCGTCACTTGGTGCATATAATTTCTCCAAATCGCATGGAGGCTAGGAGAAGTAAATGTCTTTAACGTCGAGAGTACATGAACCAAGGTTCTAATTATGTATGGCATGTGGACAGTTATGATAAACTTACACCGTATGGTGTATGTGTGAATGGCGCAATAGATGGATTCTCCGGGTTTATTGTATGGCTTGAAGCAAATACAACCAATAGTGACCCGAGAGTTACTGCATCATACTTTTTGACTGAAGTGCGAAAACGAGGAGGATGTCCATCGTAATGAGGGCAGACAGAGGAACGGAGAACGGTCATGTCAGGCAAATGTTAACATTAATGAGACGACACCAAAATAGGAACTGTTTTCTGGTTGGTTCTAGGAACCATAATCAACGTATTCAGCGAATGTGGGGCATCATTAGACAGACGAAGGCTCAGTACTGTATGGACTTGTTTTCCAGCTTGAAAGACATGGGTCTTTTTACCGGAGACTTTCTGGATAAGAGTCTTATACAGTTTTGTTTCTTAGAGCTTATTCAGGTGAGTAAACTGCTTATGAACTTACAAAATGTCAATTGACTTCAACTTGATTGTGATGTGTATAAGTTTGGAGTTTGACCTATCAACTTGAATATCAGCAGTAAGCTTGAATTTTTATGATTGCCAGTAGTCATCCTTAAAATCTTCTAGTGGTGTCATGCTATTGTTCTGCAGGGAAACTATTGCTCACAATTACCAACAGATGCACCGACAAGTAATGTCCCTTTGGTGTGGAGTATTATCCACTTAATGTCCTTGCTGGCAGGATATAATTTTGGAATGTCCACTTCGAAATAGTTACGTTCCAAAAGCATGATGTTCAAAAGTGAGGTGAAAGATCACTGCCTAATAATATAGAAAAATAGCCTGATCTCAATTTACAATCTGCAAACGTTTTAGCAATCTGTCGTCTCAAACCCTAATCCTCTGGCTTTTGTTTTCTTTTTGAATTTAACACATCGATCTTATCAGTAAACAATGGTGACTGACGCAAACGATGAGCATCATGAGCCATCTTAACGCTACAATAGCACGTATTCGTATGAATAGCTTGATGTACATTTAACTGTTTAAATTGAATTGGATACTTCTCGCATCGTTTAGCAACAGGGATCGGATTTTATGGACAAGTCTGTAGTAATTTTATGAAACGCATTATTTTGGTTGGATAAATAATGATGAGCTTTATGTAGAAGTAAGCATAAGTCCCCTCGAGAAAAGCCATAGTTAAAACGTCGTACGGACCTCATGCTAACTTCTACATTATCATCACAGGTCACTTATTGTATACATATCATTGTTGTTTTCAGAAAGAACTGAATGCAGTACCCCGTCTCTGGAATACACACAGGATCAGAAAGTCGAGGAGATAACTCTGCCAGCAGGAATACCTCTAATCATGTATATGTTTCCTGAACGGTATGGAGCTGTGGATTATTTGTGCCAGGTTCATTCGGCCACCATTGATGTTTGCGAAACGAAGACAATACCTAGAAGTCATGTACAGTGTGATGAAACCGTACATGAATTGTATATGAAGGAGGTCGACAGCAACCTTGCTCTCCTTACTCAGGCGTTGTCTTATATCACTATTTACGAGAGAGAAAATCTTCGAGGCTTAGAATACAGCTGAACTGAACTAATGCTGCATAAGATAGGAAGATTTATGGATATCAACTTCTTTATTATGAGAACACGACGTTTCGCAGTTAATACTTCAACAGGTGAATGAAAAATGAGGTACAGAAGATATATTCATATGTACATGTAGAGAATAGCAATATAACGAAAGGAACAAGTAATCAAAGTGCTGGGAGCCAATGTTAGCAAGCCTGATTGGAGGCCCATAGTTAAAACAACAATGATGAAAGCCAATAGTAACTTACATTACACGCTTATGGAGGGATTGGTGATGTACACACACAGGGAGATTAAGACTGGTTGGTGAATTACTCACATAGATAGATAATGAGTAATTTAGAATTAAAGACAGGCAAAGGAAACTACAAGAAGCCATCAAAATCCAGAAACAGAAACCAGTCATGAACCATGACCACTGTGTCTTTCTGCCAAGCGCTTAGGACCTACTGATCAATTGATTCTATTTCATCAATCGATCCAATTACTAATTACTCTTGATCTATCACTCTTAGTCTATCATTGTCCAATCAATCTTAATCTCCCTGTCTTTATACATCACCAATCAGCGCCATAATCTCCACATAAGCATACAATTTAATTTACTATTGATGTCCATCAGTGTTGTTTTAACTGTTTACCTCTAATCAGGCTTGTTAACGCTGGCTTCCAGCTCTTAGTTAACTTGTTCCACTTGTAACATTGTTATTCTGTACATGTACATATAAGTATTTCCTCCTTATGAAGGAGGAAACATTAACTCTGAAACGTTGTGTTATGCTACATAAGCTGCCTTTAATAAATGGTATGTCACTGTATTTCTTTTATACCATGTTTGTATAATTACAAACACCAATAAAATTGATGCGTTGAAGGCCTGTTTCGTTATTCGTGTTTTATTATCTTAGCTCATCAGGGCTGAAAGTCCTGGTGGCCTTATGACATTATGACATGGAAAGGTTCGTCCGCAAAAAAATTGCATTGACGACTTCTTCTAAAGAACCACTGGATCTAGAGAGATGAAATCTGATATGCATGTAATTTGGCAAAGAGACTATATAGATTAAAGATAGTGTGACTCTGTGACACCCAAACCCACAAAATCTATATGAGACGAAGTCAAAATACACACAGGGAGATTAAGACTGGTTGGTGAATTACTCACATAGATAGATAATGAGTAATTTAGAATTAAAGACAGGCAAAGGAAACTACAAGAAGCCATCAAAATCCAGAAACAGAAACCAGTCATGACCAGTCTCATGAATTAGGAGAAGTTGAAAACCTAAATATGGTGTACAGGTTGCCTGGTTAATGTGGATGATATATTCTGTTTCAACCTCCTTGGTCTGGAGTGTTTCAACATTTATGTTTTTAAAGTCAAATGACATACCATATACATCCTAATGAGACGTCAAATGATTAAGACATATAACAAAGATTTATATTCAGGAAACATCAACATTTTCTCCAGCCCAAACAGAAAACAATATATAATCCTTGCTACTCAAAGCAAAAACCATGTTCGTTGAAATGTCTTTTTCCCAGACAAGTTGAGAAAATAGTAGAAATGTCTTCAATTCGCAAAATGTTAAAACAAGCATAACATTCGACCATAGAAGAGCACAAACCATACACAGAAGAAAGATTTCTCTTGCCAGTTTCAAAAGCCAAGACTTCCAAATCATAGTTCCATGTTTGTTCATTGTTCTATCTTAACACACATAATCATAACAGCTTTCAAAAGAAATCTGGTCCTCAAAATGTATAAAATACAACATGAAGTGTCAATAACACAAAGTGTAAATGTACCAAAATTTACTTTGTCATACATAAGCAGTTTCGAAAGGAAATAAAACATCCATTCGATAGTTCCAAGTTTGACTACCTTTTGTCTACCTTAGTCATCAAAGTGCAATTCTGTATCAACATTCAATCTTAAACGAGTACAAAAAGATGCATAGTAACACTATGTATCTTCTCACAGATACTCAGTTTCAAAACCAAGAAACCTTCAGTCAAAACTTAAACATATCATTATTTTACCCACTATATTATGTCCATGACCCACACATTTCTAGTGAGGACATGGTCAAACTCCGTTCTGAACTCCATGTAATTTGAGTAGTTATCAGAATGTTTCAGCACTGCTCCGCATGTGTGAGCGATTGGTCTTCTTTCAAAGTACTCCATGGGAATGAAGTTCACCTGTATCTTCTCTGTGTTTACCATGTGCGACCCAGTACAGAGACGGAGAAACTTTTGCAGCTTCTCAACATCCATCTCGTTGACATATTGCTTGAGGAACCTTCGAGTCTGCCTTTCATTTATGTTTGCGGCTTCTGGCACTTCAAGTAGTTTAGAACTGACTTGTTGGTTGGCCGCGTTGATGAATACAGAGATGCCAACTGCTGCTCTGACATAGATATTGTCAAAGATTTCACGCCAGGATTCAACAACAAACATTGTTTCCTGTATGAGTGTGAAGTTTGCAATCTCAATCAGGACTGGTACCAGATGTGTTGCATCAATTTTCGACCTACAGTTGTAAGTCTCCAATGACTCCAACAGATCATCTTCTTCGACGCTAGTAAAGTCCCCAATAGCTTGTTTGAAAATTTTAGAGTCATGGCTGATGCAAACTCATGAAAATCTTCCATTAGGATTGATGATTCAGGATCCCTTCCAGGGAAAAAGCACTGGAGAATGAATACCTTGGACAACTTCAGTGGCCAGTAAATCAGTCTTCTCCATCCAAACACCAGTACACGTGCAACAGCTTTCCATTCTTCAATTCCGAAATCATGCCTTAGAGATGGAACTTTATTTTAACGTTTCCCCAATTGTAAAGTGGTTGTAGAAGTGTTCCCAAAATTCTGTGATCGTATTCCGCAGGACACCTCCGGTGTCTTCATCCTTCTCCTCTATACCATTTGGCAGAATGCGGACAACATTCACTACCTCATTCAAAATGTCAGCATCCTTGAAGTATCCTAACATCTCTGCAAAGGCCAAGGAAGCTGTGTGGATGGTCATCTGGACACAGTAATGCCCCCCTCAGTATGTGATATAGTTGTGTTGTCTTGGTTGTTTCCCACAATATCAAACACAGGGATATGTCGCACTTCTAAATCTGGCAGGTCTTCATCCAGGAAACCAATAGCTTCCACAGCGTCTTGATGGATGTCATTTCTCGAGGGGTGTATAATGGTGTGTTCATCCATTCTTCTTGGAGAGGTCCAGTAGGCATCATTGATTCCCTGGTTCCGGGAAATGAAGGCTCATCCTGTATCTCATCTGATGATGTTGCGTGGCCTGGTGTTTCTCCCACTCCTTGTTGATCAGAGGGTCGTTCATCATGAGTGGCATGTTCATCTGCAGTTGTTGTATCAATAGATTTTGTGTGCAGGTAAAATGTTACAATGCCAATTTTGAAAAGGTCATAACAATCTGTCACTGACATCTCATTTGGAAGTGATTTTTTTAAAAATCTAACAGATCACATGTAACGTCATTGAGAGATCCTTTTGTGGACCTGCCGTTTGGGAAAAATAACTCCTTGGCCATTTCCAAAAGTTCTGGTTTACACAAAGAACGTTTCACGTCCACTTTTCTGGCGCCGCCGCCAAATCGTTTTCGGACTTGGTGTTCATCATGTATCCACCCGAATTCTATTTTCCTCGTCTTCTTCCTAATCGTCTTTCTCCAATCAGATTTAGCGATCTCTGCATCCTTTTCTGGAGTTTTCTTGTGACTCTAGTGTGCCAGTTTCATTTTCAATTCTTTTTTATTCCTTCTTCTTTGATTTTTGGACGATTTTAGAGCAATGTTCCCTCAATGCAACTCTGTCACCCAGTTTCGGAATATATGGACTGAAACTTTGGTCGTCAACGGCAAGGACTGTCTCAACATCGATCTGGAAACCAAATAAGACAATGAATAGACGTAACATCAAATTAAAATACAGACCCATGCTTGTAAAATACAGGCTCATGCTTGTAACTAGAGCGTCAAACTGATAGAGACATAAGATACTTATCTTACCTTTTCATTACGCAATGCTGCTAAAGTGGAAGGAGAAACCTCTCTAGTGGTCATGAACTCCAATGATCTCGTCAACACTCATGGTGGCTGTAATAGCAAGGGTACTTCATGAATGTATATCTCACGTTAAGCTGAACTGAACGTTTCTTTGGAATGTGAAAGGTGTAATGCTTATATGGCATTACATATATCTATCTGTATAATTTAAGGGACTCACCTTATGGAAATACAGTACATTGTTGCCATCATCGTCTTCCTGTGAATAATGCTCCTGCTGCAACCACTTCTGCCCTTTTTATAAGCACCCTAATCTAATTAGATAAACTATCGTGTAATTAGATGAAATTATCATTTACTTAGATGAAAATACAATATAATTAGATGAAATATAATCTAATTAGAATATGTATACATTCATCTAATTAGTTTATAGCAACATATAATTAAATGAAACTAATGTCTAATTAGATTAAACTATTATCTAATTACATAAAACTATCAACTAATAAGATGAAAATACAATGTAATTAGATGAAACTGTTCAGTATATTTTTCCCACTGCTGGCAGCAATGCGCTTCCATAATATATGGCATTGTGTATTCACACAAAAGTGAAACCTCCACCTTCTGGTTGGGTTGGCCACAAGGGCACGGGCTCACTAAATTATGTGATGAATGCAAGGCATGATTGTAAAACGATTTTGTATAAACATTTTATCAGGATTCTTCAATATCTAAACCATGTGCACCACGCTAAATTGAGGTTTCATAAAACCTTTCCAACATCTCAATTTGCAGTTCTCGTACTAGTGTTGTGGACTATATTAATCCAACGAAACGGGATCTTGTTGGGGTCATTATATTGGATCAAATTTGTTTCGTGTGTGATTGCACGAGTAAACACAAATTGACAACCTGTCAATCGATGGGCAATCTGTTGAGGAGGTTTTATAGGCCCTCAATCATAAGGAACATACGTTTCGGAGTATTTGTTCTTGATAATAAAGGTAGAAACTTATACAGGGAAGCAAATAATTGTATAGCGCTGATTGGTCATAAACAGTCGGGAACCAGGGGGTTATTAGCACTGACTGGTATAAGTACAGCACTTAAACATAGCCAGTGTTACCAGTAACTGCTATTCACACATGCCTCTCTTTGTTCCATGGCTTATTACCAGCGAGTACTAACTTCTGGCACGTCAGTTGGCTTTCTATATATTCTCTCTGGCTGCGAATTAACTGTTTGTTTCCCTTTTGAAGTTTTCAACTTTGTTGTCTTATTTTTGTTGTCCTCACATGTTTAAGACATATCTGTATCCTAGAATTGATTGTTCTGATGAAGGGATAAGTATATACTCCCTAACGTTGTGATCCTCAACGAAATTGACATCAATAAATTCTCCTCTATGTTTATCACATTTGAATGCCGCTCAATAACATGACAAAACTGTTTCACCTGAAGTCTTGCATGTAGTCTTGTCACTTGATACTTCTGATCAAATCAAATATGAATGGGGTCCTTGATTAAAACAGTAGATAAATCCATTTTATCGTGATGTGATTCTGAAATTGCAACACAAAATATACTAATCACGAGATTGGATTGTATGTCCCTCCATATTCAGAAGGATGCTTAGAAACATTCGTGACAAACTCTTTTTAGATAGGACCGTTAAATGCGTTTTTAACGTAGATCAGGACACGGCGAGCCCATTTCATTGAATTATCTTTAAGATGTATTTAGAAGAATCACATCAGTCCGGTTACTTGATGACCAAAATACTTTACATTAAAACGATCTGAGAATATACATTTATCGAATCACTCTGTCCTTAGTGAGTCAAATGCCTGTTACACGTGCATTAACACAAACACACTTTCTTGTAAGTAACAACCATGGACAACTGATAAGCCATTTTATGAGGAAACGTGTTTCGACTGAATCCATTTTATTGATGGTTCACCACTACTAAAAGTGGGTAACACATCTCTCTATCGCCAGGTGAGACATTCCGTCTCCAAGGAATCTCTTACTGTATGGACACGCAATCCCAAGCATTACTTTCATCTCACGAAGTCACTTGTGCCATTTGTGGGGAGACGGTTTTCATTGACAAATGATTCGACTACAGATTATATTAACTCTTGTACCTTTGCACTCTATCATTCCCCCTATGGCACGATCATTGACGCCATATGCCTATGCTTGAATCTTGATCAGGACAGGGATTAAATACAAGTAACCTGCAAACCATTGTTTTGTGACTTTAGTGATTCAGCTCAACTCGCCAAACTGATAAAAGAAAATATATGTAGCGTGTAAGTACAAGCACCAAATTTCTCATCCAGGTTTAGGAGGCAGGGGTGGTCTTGTCTTGTCACGCTGGAAACGTGGAATATTTGGTTCGAATCCCAATTCACTCCAATTATGTTTGTGAGCAACCTACCCGTGTTTGTGGGTTTCACCAAAGTGGTAAATGTTTAGGAACGATGTAACTTGGGGTTTTCCTCCAACACTAAGCTTGCCCGTCGTGATGATCGTTAAAGGAAACTTTAACACACCCACTCATCTAGGTTTGGGTGATAACGCCCATGTAAAAACTGGGGGTAAAACGTTAAGAAACGAAGTAGGCATCCCTAAAGGCACCAATTGTGCTCCCCTCCATGCGTTATTATTTGTTTGCACACATGGATCTCAATTTCTACTCGGGTTGGCAAAACCACAACAAGGTAATTTCGCCCAGAAATTCCAAATTGAGCTTCCAAATTGAAGATAATATCGTTCAATAACCATGAAATATCCAATTCCCTAGAGCTATGCAAGATTCAAAGCGATAAAAATCTCAACTTTCCACTTTCCAGTTGTCAACTTTCCCTTATGTCGAACGATATGTTTACATTTCACAACTTCTGAGGTACAGTCTAGTATGCACTATTTACCAAGATTTCAAATAGACCCTCTTACTCAAAAGTTGTGTTCAATCAGGTTACAACATCCATGGCCTCAGAAAGGCATTAGAAAGGTTTTATGGTATGACATGGTACAAAATGTGATACATCAGTGACAAAAGTGACGTCCAATGAAATTACCTATTAGTGACAAGCCTTTGCATGTGTTTATGACGGTTGCCATCGGCGGGACAAGATACACTTATCTTTTGGCGATCACTTGGTATCTTCACTATGTGACAATGATTCCAACACAAAATTAGCATCGTATGTCCTGATGTCATTCACTGGATTGTCTGATCCTATTCGATAATTTATAGAACACCGTTACTGACAAAACAACAAACAACACACACAAACACATGCTAATATAATAGTCTGAATTGTCTGCTTTCAGCGGAGCTTTCTTTTGGATGTGGAAAGGGTTGTGTTGCTTTTTAGCCGTCTGGAGCTGACACGGTGTTATTTATACATGCAACTGAAACGGTGTGCAATTGCAGATCATTAATACTAATCAGAAATACCTGACACGTGTGAGGTCAGCTGTTGACTCACATGACACCTGCAAACATCATGTACCGTCATAACATCGTATCACACATAGTTGAGTGGGTCGGTCATCTCAGTGCTAATCGATAGTTGACGGGTTGGGTCTGGTAGAAATAATGACTCAATAACATCCACTTAGTATTGATAATATGCGAGTAATTGAGCGATTGACGTTTATGAACCATAAAGATAAATATGTTGTTTTATACATAAAACGCTCCGATTTAGAGAGGGGCTGCATTTATAGTCACAATGACGTCGAGCAAATGCGTCTGTTCCCCGCAAAGTAACCATAAGGTTAGTGGAATAAAAGGCATATTTAGCCCTTTTGCACATACCTCATCGTAAGCCTCAACACATCTGTTCACATTGCAAGCTACATGTTCATGAATTATGTCCACAGCAGTCTCACGGTGCTTCCATATAACCACATATGTCGTATCGAATAATCAGTATTGGCACCTGCTCGGGTCATTATGTTCTTGAAATAGCAACATCAATATGAAGAACACGTGCCATGACCATGCCTTTGTAACAGGTTGACGGACAACAATGGTTTTACTTTAGATGCATATGTTCACTACTTTCTTTGATATTGAATAGTTAAAAGGAGACACTATTAGAACATGTTTTAAAGCGGGTTATTTTTTGTTTGTTTGTTTGAATGATATTCGTCATCCATTAGATTTAAATTACACAGTTTACGGATTCTATTTTGCCCTTTTGAAGCCTATATATCTGCCTTTTTCTATGAATATATCATGAGATAAGCAGCCTAATCTCACAAGAGTAGTTCTATGTTTCTCACATTTAAAAATGATACATATATCTCTGTGTATAAAGATAGTTTAAACAATTTGTGACATATAGAGACCTTATGTTAACAAAGAAAAGCCAGTCCTTGTTTAATTGATAACAGAAAAATGTAAGGTGTGACTCTATACGCCACTGATATAATAGATTACAAAACCCAGAAGAGAATAGTAAATGTTTTACATCTGACAATCGTGTAACAGCTTAAGCTGTTACAATAGCAAAATCTAAAAAATATATCGAAATGCCTAACATAACCCCCAAAAATGTTGTATTTCAAACATGATAAGAACAATCAGGTATTTGACATACTGAAGAAACCGGGCCCTACTATACTGGTGAGGTGAGGTGAAATTGGGTTTAACGTCGTGCTTGAGAATATTTCGCTCATATGACGACGTGCATGCGTGTGTATATGTATGTGCGGCTGCTTGTACTAGCCCAGACTGAAGCTGGTTTTATAGTGCTAGCTTACTGAGATCCTATGCCGCAGTGAAGCATGAATACCCCACTCAGACACATTATACTGACTCCGAGCCGACCAGTCCTTGTTGTACCCATAAATGCCGAGAGCCAGGCAGGGACCAACAAGTACCATATTTTAACGTCCTTTGGTATGATGCGGTCGGGGATCGAACACGCGACCCTCCGCTCTCCGGGCGGACGCTCTAACCACTACACCACGGAGGCGGTCTCCTTACTATACTGAACAGAACCATTATGATTATGGATAATTATAGTCTGGA